AATAAATCAAGGTATTGTTTTGTTTTGTTTTTTTTAATCTATACCCCACCCTGACTCTCAGACCAGGTATTAAATATTTACCAATATAACACTAAAATATCAAACTGCAGATGGTATTTTGATACAGAGGTCACTTATATTACCTACATGATTTTTAAAGACAGAAACTTTTTTTTTTCCAAATAAACAATGGTAAAATGCAATGTAAGATAAAAGTTTACTTCAAAGATACCTGTATTTTTAACAGAAATAAGGGAGAGGAAATACTGTATCTTGACACAGTCCATTCCATCTGAAATCTTAATAGTTCTTCCTTTAAAAAAAAAAATAGGGCAGCTACCTGCAGAGCTATGGCATTGATCCTGTCTCTTAGAAAAGTTCTTAATTTTTTCAATAATTTGAGGTCAAACGAAATAAATTGAACTCTTAATCTCTGTGGTCAATCAGCCTTCAATATTTAAAAAGGCAAAACGTACAGTCACAGGATTTTCTGATGTTTACATTAAAGATTATAAAGATTTTCAAGTAAAATATTGCTACTGAGCTTAAGAAAAATCCATTATGCAGAGGATAATTGATTTTTTATAAAGAAAATTACCATATCTGGTACCATGATAACTTCAGCAAATCTAGTAATTATTGAAATTAATGTTAAAAGTCAGAGTATCGAAACGGACAAGATAATTATTCTGAATATGTATAAAACCAACCTTACAACCTTAGTCTGATATTTATCATAACTGATTTTGCATCATTTAGATATCAGCTCATTTTCTCAGTCCTCCTATCTGTTCTTTCACCAGGATTCTCCAAATATTTCATCAGACTGGGCCTACCACACTGAGGTTGGAATCATATAAAAGTTTTGAGCCCAAGAAGTGACCTCAGCAACCAAAGGACATTCCTTTTATTTGTGTCTCACATCTGTCCTCCAGTTAACTTTGACTTTTATTCATTCACTTAAAAATCATTACAAATCCACCATGTTGTAGGCCTTGTGCTAGACACTGGAGATATAATGGAAAATAAGAAAAACATGTCCATGACTTCATGGAGGACAGTCTACTAGGAGAAATGTCCACTGAACAAACAATCTCATAAAAAGTTATATTTATAAATTATCAATGCTATGAAAGAAAAGTATATGACTCAATGAATGTGTCATAATAATGGGAGACCAGGAGGCTTGCAAAAAATTCCCTGAGAAAGTGAAACCTGACTCAAGACCTGAGGATGGTGATGAGGAGAGTTCAAGAGCGCAAAGGAAACGGGACTTTCTCAATTCTAGACATGTTGTTTTCACCTTTCCTGAACTTTCATTTCTACCTTTGCTGTCTCCTGGCATTTTTCTCCTGAATTTGACAGTATCTAGCAACCAAGTCCAACCCATCCTATCCCTGTATGTTACAACAGCTAATGTTTATTGAGTTCATACTACTTGGAAGATATCATTCTAAGCAATTTATGTATGTGAACTCATCTACTCCTCACAGTGACCATGAAGCAGGACACATTTCCATACTTTACAGATGAAGAATCTGAGGCACAGTCATGATAAGATACATGCCCAAAATTACACAGCTACTGGTACTAGTCCTTGAATGTCCATTATCTCCCTCATAACTGCTCACTCTTATAGAAACCCCAAGGCACCAAACTAAAATGGCACCAATACTAAGCAAAGAATACCAAGTCTCCTATATCCAGCAACCATCTTCAACTAGGAAGGGTCATGCAATTGACAAAGGTGGCCTACACTAAAATATCTCCAGGGACAAAAATAATTTTTTAGAATAAGAAATATTCTAACAAAAAGCTATTCACCCAGATAATGAAATAATGAAAACTGGGATAGGAGAAAGGGTTATAATTTATTTCATTCTCTCCGTACCACCCAAAGAAGAAGAAGATAAGATATTTTATTTTCTTTTAATCCAAATTTATAAATTTTTCACATGTATTTGCAAAATTGAATTAATATATAGTAAACTGGCTATGATGTAGAAGAAAGTCCCAAATTATTTTCTTTTGGTAAGCAACTTTTAAATGATAAAAAAAGAAATAACTATTAAATGACCAAGGCCTCACTGAAAACTACATATAGATATTTTCTTAAAAATTCTTGTTATGATCAAAAGTTTCATTTGTAAATTCACCATTGAAGGTGATATGAAAAACAGTAATTAAGTGGGTGATTGATATAAGTGAGTATATGACTCATAGTTTGCAAAGGAAAATAATTTTGGGGAAAAGGCTCAGGAAGAAAAGAAGCAAATAATGGGTTCTAGAAGAAATCAAGACCTTTCCTGTCCAAGAACTGTCACCAGTTTTTATTACTTGAAGATTAAGGGAATAGTGAATAAAGCTGTCTGTCAGACAGCAGAAAAGGTAAGAAATAACACTGTCTCTAAATGTGCCTCACATGAAAGTTTTCAGAAATAACATTCATAAAATTAAACTTTCTATAAAAAGTTACTAGAAAACCCAACTCAAATCAGACCAGTGGAAATGTCAAAATAAACCAATATTACATTTGTCAGGAACTTGAACAAAATGAAACTTCAGGATAGGTCAAGTTGTAGAATCGTCTAATTTTATTCCACTGGGTTTTAGAACAAGGCAGATCCAATACTGATTTATAGGACATTTTGTAGGGTTGGTTTGTTTTTGTTTAGCTCTTTTTCTACTTCAAGGTTAGTGTAAAATAATATTTAGTTTTTGCTACTAGGATTCAGCAAATTTGTATGAGCTTTAGTTTCTGGCTCCAGAAGTCAAATTCAAGCCACTGAATTCAGTTCCACTTTCTACTAATTGAACCTCCCCTCTCATATATATCTCAATTACATCATATATATATATTTACATGTACTTTTTTTTACACTCACATTTATGTATGGGCATTAAGTGCTACCCATGCATTATTAATCTTCACAGAAAATGAAGAGAATTTCATTTTGATTAAGTCATATTCAACAAGAATTTTTATGCAATTTAGTATTTTATTTACATTTTTGTGTATATTTTAGAGTCCCTACTGTATGACTGCATTGAGCTGTTTATGTGTATAAAACACATAGATGTTTTATACATATAGATGTTTTATACACATAACCTAATTTAAGAATACTGGGGTTACCTTGTTATATATATACTGCCTACAGATAAGGTAAAAGAATATTTTTGTGAGGAAGCAACCTAAGTCATATCATAATGGCTTTCACATCCAGCCATTTCAGCATATTTTATGCATATAGCTTAGAACTTAGTTCATGAAAACTGTCTGACCCAACATAAGGAATTCTCAAGAAAAAATTAAAAGCTGTATGTGTGTATGTATGCACATGCATGTGTGTTAGATGACCAATTCAAACCTAGGCAGTCCAATTATAAAATCTTTGCTCTTAACTCCTAAGCCACTATATCCTGGAAAAGAAGTAAGGTGTGACTTTTAGAATGAAAGTAACTGATCTAGGTAATAACAGTACTTCTAAAATAAGGAAGCGTATTTCTGAAGTCAGTACACTAAGTATCAGCATTAAGTTATAAAAACACATTTGATGAATATTTACTATGATAATGATTTTTTTTCTTTTTGTAAATGTGTTTAATTACCAGAAAGTTTCTAGCTTCGTCTTTTTGGATATTATATCACCTAACATTTCTGTATCACCTTACAGAGTTTAAAGCATTTCTGTATCTAAAACTTTATATAATCCCACCATCAACACTATAAATAAGGCAAGTATGACAGTTAATTGGATATGTCAACTTTGCTGGGCCCCAGTGCCCAGATATTCCAACAAATATTATTGTAGATGTTTCTGTGAAGTTTGTTTTTTTTTTTTAAGATGAGATTAAAATTTGAATTACATACTGACTAAAGCAGATTACCCTCCATAATGTAGGTGGGCCCCATCCACTTAGTGAAAAGCCGTAATAGAACTAAGACAGACCTCCTTGGAACAAGAAGGAACTCTGCCAGCAGACTGCTTTTGGCTTCAAACTTCAATTCTTACCTGGTCTCCAGCCTGCCAGCCTACTGTGCACATTTTGGATTTACCAACTCTCTTTGAGATTCAATTCCTCAAAATCAATCGTTCAATCTCTGCTCCTCCACACAGGTGTGTGTGTGTGTGTGTGTACACACATAAGTATATACACATACACACCACACACACACACACATCCTGTTGGTTCTGGAGAACTCTGAATCAAATAGCAAGGTAGTTGAAAAGTCTAACAACAAGAACAGGAATTCAGATCCTTACTTTTGTCTCATTCCTGAAAAGATACCAAAATTATTAAAAATCTATGCTAGAACTCAGTTTTCATACCCAAACCACTCAACCCATGTCATGTTCTTTTAAAACTATTATTTGACAAAACTAATCAATTCTGGAAAACATAATGGCAGATCCTCAAAAAGCTAAGCAAGCATAGTTACCATATGACCCAGCAATTTCACTCCTAGGTATATGCCCAAGAGAAGTTAAAACATATGTCCACACAAAAATGTGTATATGAATGTTCATTACAGCATTATTCACAGTAGCCAAAAAGCGGAAACACAAATCCCATCAGATGAAAAGGATGAGGCATATCCATAAACACAATGGTTCAGGGAAAAAAAGAAATGAAGTACATATGCTACAACTTAGATGAATCCTGAAAACATGCTAAATAATACAAAGTGAATGCAAAACGCCACGTATAATATGAATCCATTTATAGGAAATGTCCAGATTAGGCAACTCCATACAGACAAAAAAAAGATTAATAGTTATCAGGGGCAAGGGAAAGGGTTCAATGCAGAGTGAATACTAATGGATATAGGATTCCCTACTGGAGTGATGAAATGCTCTTGAATTAGATGGTGATGACAGTACAACCTCATGAAAATACTAAAAACCACTTAACTGTACACTTTAAAACTGTAAGTATTAAGAAAAATGAATATTTCAATTTTTAAAATGTTAAAAAAATAACACTAATCAACTTACCTGGCCTTTTTGTGGTGCCAAACAATGAACAACTTCATCCACCATTACGGGAATATGTAATTTAGCTATAGCTTCGAAATCTCTATCTTGAGATCTGTGTTTCTCCTGAGTTCCAGTTTGATCTGTTTGTTCCTGGGCTTCATATTCATTATTTCTTTGTGCTGTATCATGTATTTTGTTTGGCCAGACACCTAAATTAAATATGCCAGATTCCAACCAGCATGAAAGAAATTCTTTATAGATTCTACAAAAATATGGGTACCGAAGCATTCTGTAGGTCAACAAATCTAGAAAAAAAATTAAAAATATCGTGATTGTTGGATTTTTAAAATATATAGTTTTATATAACTTTTTAATATGGCCTGATAAGCTCTAAGACCATTAACGTTTTAATGACCAGGGAGGCAAAAATTGATTAAGTCATCATTTTTCTTAAATATGCTTTTCTAACTTTAAACAATGGATTCAGTGCATTAGAACTACTTATTTGAAAAAGCTGTCTGGAGGGGGCTGGGGGGTGGGATAACACAGTGATGGTCACTAAGGAGGGCATGTGATGTAATGAGCAGTGGGTGTTATATACAACTGATGTATCAATGAACTCTACCTCTGAAACTAATAATACACTATATGTTAATTAATTGAATTTAAGTTTAAAAAAAGCTGTCTGGATGATTGAAGGGATTACGAATATGATCCTATTTCAGGTTCAGGTGGTCTTTTATTTTAAACTCATCTATTTGTTTTTCTCATAATGTTAAAGCTTCATCTTCATTTTAACTTTGCTTTAAAAATTGTCCCTGGAAAAAGATATGCATGTTTATCCAAAAAGAAATGAAGGTAAAAATCAGTTTGTGAAAAGCTTGCTGACTTGTCATAAATATTCTCTGACGAGATTATTTCACCATGGCCTTCACATGGTGAAGCATGTTTCAATTTCAATTATAACTTTGTAAATACTCAACTGAGCATACTTTGGCATGCTTTGTGTGTTCCCTGCCCACCACAAAACAAGCAAATAAATAATTAATACATTCCTTAACTTTCTCAGTTGTGTTCCTTTTGATTCTGCAATCTGCAACTCTTACAAATTCAAAGGAAAAAGTATTTATGAAATACGTTAACAGAAAACCTTTTGGAAACACTATGCTTTTTATATATTAGGTTGTAAGCAACGTTTTTAATACCACTACAGTAAATACCAAGTTAACATTCTTCTTCCTTCTTTATAGATTATTATTAGTTATTTAAGAATAAGACCCATATCTTTATATCCACAAAAGCAGATGCACACTAGGTGATTCATAAGTGTTTTCTGAAAAAAAAAAATGGATGGATGGGTAAACTCTAGATTCTACAGAATTAATATTTTTATCAAAACTTACTTTAGGAAATTTCACCTGCCTGACCGACTGTACCAAAAACCACATTCTCAAAATGCTTCAAGAAACATAAATACTTCCCCCGCCAAAAAAAGAAACATAAATATCTTACTTAAATATACCTTCCCTTCCTTTTGCAATAGAAATGAAAAATAATGTTGGAAAGTTGATCACATGTAATGACTAGAAAAGAAATACATTTATATTATATAAATACAATACCACAAAATGTTACCTTAAGGAAATGCCAACTTTACCTACAACATAATCCACAGAATGATGTGGCAAATGTGACACAGGAAAAATATAGGGAAAAAAAGGACTGCAAATAGGTGTTTGAAGTAATATTTTGGATGTTCACTGATTACCTCCCAAATTATTAATTCTGCCTCGTGTTTTTCAGAAAGCTTATACAAAGTAAATCCAACTACCTTCCAACCTAGTGTTTCTAACATTTTTCAAAATAAAAATTGACATTCACTGGGCACTTACTAAATACTACTAAACTCATTCGATCCTTACCACAACTTTTAGAGGTAAATAGTATTACTATTTCTATTTTACAGATGAGGAAAACAGAGAAATAATTTGCCAAAAGATCATATATCTAGAAAGCCATAAGCCTAGAACTGTAACTCCAGCATTCTGTCCCCAGAGCCTGAAATCTTATCTTACTCTCTATGCTACAAACATAGACCACTGGCTCTATTGTATCCATGTAATTGGTAGTTTAATTACACTGACTATATATTTGTACTATCTCATGAATTAGATTATTTTTCTGTAAAGAGCCAATATCCTATTGCTTGGTCCTACTCCATTTGGAAATACAGTATAACAGGTGACATGCAGCGTATAGTCCTAACTAGTGGAATCTGGAATGTTTAAGAAATCTACACTGTATGTCCAGATATAAATATGTGAATCAATTCCAATACAGGAATCAAAACCACATAGGAAAAAGCAAGTAGGACAAATTGGGGGAGGGGTGTTTCATTTAATTTAACTCTTTTGCATTCAATTTCTATGTATTTACTCAACTGTGTTCCATTACAAAGCCTAAAGATTTTATTATGCACTAACTGGCTACTAACATGAGTCAACATGGAGAAAGGACTTCAATAATTTTCCTCTTTGGCTGTTTTCCTGATTACCTCCCTAAGAATGGAAAGAAGCAAGCTCTAAATTAGGGAGTTCCATCTCTTTAGGTAGTCCCGTCTTCTACGAGATAACTGAGAGCACTCCTGCAGTCAGCTCTAAACCAAGCACCCTTGATGATTTAAGACAGTTTAAGTTTCCTCTGGTCACAGGAAGGAAGCTGAGAGTCGGGAAACCAGACCGCTAGAGCCAACTCGGTGGTTTCCCTAGGTAAATCATTTAACTTTGCCAGCAAGGTTCAGTTTAAGCCGTTGAATCGAGGGAACTGGCCAGGTTACCCTTTTCATTGTGGGACCCGGAAGGTGAGTGAGCGATACCTTTGAAAGCTACTTGCTCAAGGGTGCTACCAATTACCACCATTGCACTCACTTAGCCTTCCCTCCGGCGAAAACCATTTGAAAATTTAATTCCTAAGGCCAAAAACCCAGCCTGGAGGCTGGGAGCCGAAGGCATAGAAAGTGAAAGAGGTTCTAAAGTTAAGGAAGAATGCATCCTTTTGCCTAACAATTATACTCGGAAGAGGGAAAACTGTTTACAAACTTCTGAGCTCAGGACGAATGAGTGTTCAGGAGAGGAAGCGGGAGCGGGGGCGTGTTTTCTTTGTCCAGGGCGAATCCAGCGACCTCTGAAGTTCCCCCAAAGGCATGGGGTGGGCTCCAAAGGAGCTCCCGGGACTCGACCACCGTCTCCTCACCTGAGGCACGAAGAATTCGCAGTTGATTTCTAATTCGGGCCAGCGACGACCACTATGGTGCCAGAGAACATGAATTTGCCGCACGTCTAGGTCCCAACCTTAGGGGAAACTTGAAAGGACGGACAGATCGGGCCCGCGTCCGCCCCAGCAACAGAAAACCGTCTGCCTTTCGTTCCGCTGTTTGCAGGACCCAGCTAACGAAGAGGGTTGCAGGCGTTGGGGTTTTCAAACAGTGCTCCTGGAGGGGGTCAGGAATAAGACCCTACCACTGCCAGGTTTAAATTTACTTTTACTTTTTTTTTTTTCCTTTAATGTCTGAAGCAAGTTTAAATCTAACTTTCCATTTTATCATTTCCACTTTATTTGGTTTATTACGAACTTGTGTTAATTTTTGTCTTCTATTATAACACAGCATTAGTTATACTCCACTTTCGAACAAAAGGTGGGAATTTCTGTCTCCTTTAGCACTTCATGTTTTTAATATTTGGGTTATTTTTCCTTCATTTCATTCCAAAATACATCAGTCTCTTATACTTTCTGCTATACTCCTCTTTTGCCAAACTAAACAGAAGCCAGTTGGCACCGCGATGGCATTGATTGTAACAGTAAAGTTTCTTTGCTTTACCTATACAATTCTTTAAGAATATAGTCTTCATCATATGAACTTAAAGTTAAATGTAAAATAAGCACTTAGATTAAGTGTGGAAACACCTGTTAGCAAGCCATACAACGTGTGGGTATCAAAAAAATTATATCTAAAACACTTCTTATTCACCAATAATCAATGCAATTTTACAAGAAATTCGTTTATTAAAATGCCTATTTTCAGAATAGATTAAGAAAGCATCTGAATATCACTAATTTAGAAAGTATTTCTGAGACACACACCTTAATTCTGAATTGGCTGGTTTGTACAGTTAATAATAAATAATTTACTTTAGGGATTTTCTGAAAACTTCAGTTTTTTTCTTCAGTGAAATAAATTGTGCCTACATCTCATGGACTGTTTTGATAATTAAATTATAAATTTATGACTTTATAAACTTTATAAATTAAATAAACTTTATAAATTAAACTTTATAAATTTATAAATTAAACTTTCTAAATTAAATAAACGTTATAAATTAAACATTTATAAAGTTAACCAAATGCCTGGGACACCAATGGTAAAGTACTATAGAGTAAATGCATATTTGAAATAAAATAAAAAGTCTTCTCAATTTTATTACCAAACTCAGCACCACACAAATAACTATTGCATTAGCTAAGATATATGTAATATAGCCAGCAATTAGTATCTTTATTGATGCTCTATCCAGAGTTCAGAAACAATCATATTACATGCATTGTATATAATACACAGTGCTTCTGATCTTCTTCAGGAGGAAATAGATGTCGACATTATGGAGGTTTTCATACATTTTTTCACTTATAATACTCTGCAATGCGTTGTGCCATCCTATTTATTATGGTAATAAGCTCCATATGAGAGTATAAAATCCAAGAGGGCAGGGATTTTTACTTATGCTATTATGTCCCTAAAGTCTACAATCAGTAATTGCTGATGGATACAATAATGCTAATATAAAGAACAATGACATACAGATCATACTATTAAAAATATCCTGACGAATAAATATCCTGGCTTAGCAAACGTATTTCCCTTTTTTTTCTGGTATTTTTTTCTTATTAAAGTTTACATTTTGAAATCATATCTACAATCTAAGGCAAAAAACTACTGCATCCAGTAATGAACTAGGCCAATAAATTTTAAAAAATTTATTCTGTAAAGTCATCATTAGAAATGTAAAAACAGCCAAACACCAAATAGCTTCATAGTCAGCAATAAAGGGAGTAGGCCTGGGAGTCCTGAGAGATGAAGACTGGGGCCTCAAAACAAAAGCCCTGGACTTTCAGTTAATTGAGGCGAAATGACCCTAGTTTGATCCAGTGAAAGTGGCTAAAAGGCACAGGTCCCTCACCTTCCAGAGCATAGGACCCGCGCCTTGGACGCTTCACTACTCGATAAAGAAAAGGAGAATATAAAAATATAAACATCCAGAACCCATTAACCCACAGCCAACAGGCTCCACCTCTCCCGCAAGCAGACGGCACAAGCCAACCCCTGCCCACTCCCGTCTCACTCACACCCTGAACCCTGGGAGCGGGCCTTGTGCCCGCGGGTCTGGAGGTGGCCTGAAGATCCCAGGTGGCTACCTCCCACCTGCAGCTGCGGTCTAGCTCCGCCCACCTCGGCCAACGCCTCCGGAAACAGCGGTGCGCGTTGCCTTGGTGACGCGCCACAAGGCCGCATCCAGGGAGCTGCGCGGCTGAGACTCCTGACGCCAAGCAGTAGCGCGCCACGGCAACGTCCGACGTGATGGCGTCACGAAATCGGTAGCCAATGAAAGGAACAGCTGAAAAAGCTGGCTTGGGTTTGAATCTTGTGGCTGAGTTTGAATCGTGGAGTGGCGACATCGTAGAGAAGTGTTGCGGTAATCTTTGCTGGAGCCGAGGTGAGTGAGAAGCACGCGAGGCGAAACCTCTCTTTTCGTAACGCTTCTTTTGATGACCCATCTCGCTGGAAGCGGAAGGCTACTCCGCCTGAGGAGTCGAAGACGGGATGCGCTTGTTGACAAACGCGGAAGGGTTGAGTGGTGGGGGGTGGGGGGTGACGGTAGTTAGGGTCCCTGGGGAGAAAGTGAAAGGACGAAGGAACTGGAGAACCCGCTGGAGATAGCTCTGCCTCATCAGGCTCCCTTGACTGCTCATCAGGAAGGACAGAAATCTCCTGCCTTAAATTCTGAGAAAGTCGGAAGTTTTAAAAGGCATCCTGGCCCCTTTCCCAGACTGGCAGAGCACTTTAACTGCCCTGCGCCTTACAATGTAAAGTTCACTCCGCACTTCTGATTCAGTGTTTTGTTTCAGATACAGATGTAAATGTAACTCAAGGCTTAACTATCAAAAAGGAGTTTTGGTCCAACTTAAAAACTTTTGCCCTGCAAGGTTCTTCTGTGAGCCTGGCAAAGATCCGTCGGGAACCTCCTTTGAGCCCCAGATGTAGAATCAAGACAAGACTTGCCAGCACTGCCTAGCGGGATTGCCAAGACTCAAACGAGGTATCGAAGGGATACTGCTTGGCAAAGTGCTTTGCAAATGAAAGGGACTCTTGAACACTGAGAATAAGTCCTTCTACTGTATTTTCTTAGTTTCTGCAAGACTCTTTTAGGAGCTCATTAGGCACTCAGTTAAAGAGAGATCAAGGCCAACTGCTGTTTACGAAAAGAGGTTATTTGACCAGAACTGAATAATTTTGTTATATAATACATAGTTGAGGTTATTTACTATTAATTATCGAGTAGAATGTATTAAGCATTCTACAGGTTTTAGTTGGTAGTTATTCCACTACCTTCAGGCTTCTCGCCTTGGATTCTGGAAAGTATTTGTGAACTTTGGTGCTAGGGAATATAAGAACCATAGACTAGATACTGCTTGTTACTAAGTTTCTATTACCTTGAAAGAAATGTCTGTTTCAGTAAACAAAGATTATCTTGCCTTTAACAGCAGTAAATTAATCTCTTCTGTTACTGAACAAGTATTTGAAAAACACAAAATTTTCACTTTAAAAGTGGGTCTTGTCAAAGTGTATTGATACCCTGAATCGATTAAGGTAGACAACAAAATCATTTTTATGCTGTCAACTCTGTGAAATCTAGGAGGAAAAAATAGCCCAGATGTTAGTGCCACTCTTCACTCCATTTGAAATTTCTTTCTTCCCTGATGTTTTTAATGTAGTAAAAGGACTGGCTCTAACACTGAGGTTAATTCCAAAGAGAGGTGTTAAGTTGTATAGAGACTATAAATGATAGTATGTGGAGGATAGTTCCTGTTCCTAAAAAGTGTTTGTTAAACCTCAATCTAATTCAGATTTAAGTTTGAATTTAAGAAATAACTTAGAACTGTATGACTCCACTTTCAAAATAATTTGTGCAGCATTTCTGTTCCTTTGAAAATATTCTGCTCTTATTCCAGTAGAGCATTGTTGTTGGGCTTTGGATTTAGACCTGAGTCTATATTCTGGCTCCTCGCTTACTAGCTGTGTCATCTTGGAAAAATTATTTATCCTTAACTAAGTTTGTGTTTTTGTAAAGTGGAGACTATTATAAAATATGCCTTATATGGTTGTTTTAAGGATTGAATGAGATGATGAATGTTAAATGTTTACCACGTTTGGCATACAGAGCATGCTCAAATGATAATCATTGTTGTTCATTAGTAGTAGTTATCACCTTATCGACCTAATTTAAGACTTCTCAATAGTGTATATGCTGAGAATAGATAACTGTTTGATATCCCACAAGCAGAGAGAAATCAGACTTTCAGTTTTATTTCAACATTCATTCAACAGCTCCTCTGCTGGGCCCTGAGGTTTCTATCAAAAATAGGCAAATATGTGTTTTTAACTTCTGTGAGAAAATTTCTGGAGACTAATATTTACAACTGAAAGAGTAGTCATTTAAATACTTGAGATTTACATCCAGTTAGTCTAAGTTCAAATCCCATGTCTTATGCTTCCAATAGTGTGACTTTAGCCAATCAATTTAATCTAATTACAGTTATTCCTCTGTTAAATAGAAGTGATTATAAATACCTGTATCATAGGATTGTTATGGGGATTAAATAAATATGTAAATTGCTTAGCAATTTCTATATCTATACTAAGCATGCAATAGAAAGTATTCCATAATACATTTTAAATGAAAGATTTTGCTTACAGTAAATTTTAATAGTTTTTGTTTTGTTTTGTTTTTGAAGTGAAAATAATTAGTCTTATTTAAAATCCAAACGATACAAAAAGATATACAGTATAAAATAAGCCTGCCTGTCACCCATACTTCCATTTTTCCCCCACCGTGGAACAACTGATTCTATCAGTTTCCTGTGTTCTTTTCCTAAAAGAGCCCGTACATATACAAATATGTATGTCTTTTAAAAATTCAAAGGATTGTATGCCAAGTCTTCTATTTGGCACTTATTTTGCACGTTTATCTTGAAATTCTGCATTAGTTCATTCATTCAGTTATTGAACAATTATGTACTGAGTCCTAATTATTGAACAAGCCCTGTTCAAGGTTCTGGGGTACAGATGTAGTCCATATTCTCATAGTGTTTATATTCTGGAGGGGAAACAAACAATAAATATATAACTAAGTGATACCTATTTTCCA